TACTGCCATATTCGTTAACATTGCCGCGGCAGCTAATGTGGCTGAGTGATGTGTATTCAGTTTCGCGGCGATGTGAACGCGTGGACGTGGTATTCGTGTGGTATCGTGTATTCGAGAGGATGAGAAGGACTAACTAAAACAGCTCGTGAAGCGAAGCGAATCGGTGATGGAGGACGGCGATGGTATCAAACTGAAGTCGGAGGTGCCCGTGTGCCAACGGCGAAAGAAATCAAAAACAGTCGAAACAGAAAAAAAGGTGTTCATGGGTGATGATGAGTCTGAGAGAATCGAATCCAACAATGATCAACAGAAAAGAAACAATGCATCCTCCCTAAGATGCCAGAAACTTTGACTAAACCACGAATAGAGGCGCGTTACAGTGAAAAGACCATTCCCTCCGCCAAGGAGCTGAGCCCCTGTGTTCCTAGTTCCCCACTACTCCTCTATCCATCCTTCTCGGCCAAAATGCTGTACGAAGACTGACAGGTCCGCAGCCCAAAAGCACATAGCCTCCACCGAACTGTATGCTTGGGTATCCTTCAGAAGGGCAGCAAGGCTGCCAAACCGGCGAAAGCCAGGGAGTAACCGCCGCCTATATATATCAAAGGGACAAAAAAGTGTAGTTGGCATAACGCTGTTTGTTGTAGAAGCGAAATTGCGACTTGAACGGGGTCATCGTGTTTCGACTCTCTTCTCCGGTCCTCATTGAGGTTGGTTCGACCACCATTGGGCTGGCGTTTGCTGGTTGGACCAGGCCTGTGTCACGGCCGGAGATCCCTGGTTCGGCTGGGGCATATACTGACGCGGGGTTTGGTCTGTCGGGTAGATCCCTTGGCCGGCGGCACCATAACTCTGACCCATGCCTGGCATTCCCGAAAATTGCATACCCGGCTGCACGCCGCTGGTTGCATGTCGCAGTTGGGGAGCCGGCGACTGCTGATGCGGCTGCTGGCCCTGTGTCGTATAGCCAGAGTAGTTATGTTGTTGAGGAGCCTGCTGCGTCTGGGGCCACATTTGACCAGTCCCTGGGTAGTGATAGCCCTGGGCACCCTGAGGCATGCTGCTCGCACTCCCGGCTGCAGGCAAAGTCGTCGGCTTATTGTTCTTTTGGGCAGATGGCTGAGCCATGCCTCTCATTGGAGCCTGGCTGATGGGATTCTGCGCATGGATCGATTGAGAGTACGGCGGGGCTGTCATCATCATTTGAGGACTTTGGTTGGGCACAATGCCTGACTGCGACGGCATATTGCTCGCCGTAGTGTGCGGCGATTGTGTTGCTCGGGTAGCAGGAACGGCGGCTTCGCTGGTGGCAACATTTTGGACAAGATTCGTCGACTGGGGCTGCTCATGCGGCCTTCTCCAAATACCCTGGAGGTAGTCGCCTCGCATCTCCCGTTGCTGGTTGAGAGACCGGTTGTACTCGGCAGCGTGGTGGGCCTGGGCATGAACTTCTCCAATCTGAGCAGGTCGAGTTTGATCCTGGTAAGCCGGGCCGGTAATTTCCTGACGTGGACCTCCCTTGAGAATTCCGCTATAGTCGCGAGGGCGGTTGTCACTGAGCTCTGATCCTAGTGTTATCACGGGCATTCTGGTCGTGGTTCCGGTTGGCGCTCCAAGCATACCTGGTTGGACGATTTGGGGTTGAGGGGCGCCGGGGAATTGGCTGGGTGTGTTGCTGTAGACGATCTCACCGTGAGGGCCACCCAGCAGGACCTGGTTCTGCGCCTCGGCTGCGGCTTCCCTGGCCTTGGCTGCTCCAGGACGCTTTTCGCCAGCGGGGTCGGCCTCTGTGAATCCTTGTTTACGGGCCTTTGTCTCCCAGTAATCATCCCGAACTCTTCTACCGTTGACAATGACGCGACTTCCAAACTGGCGGAACATGGATCGGGCCGTGACAATGGCAATTTGTCGTGATCTGTAAGAGAATGGCAGAATCTCCTGGCTGACGAGGTCGTCCTTCTCGGGTTGGCTGGCAATGATCTTGAAGAGCGACCTATTCTTGTTGAAAAGAAGGTAGGAATCTCGGTATCCCAAAACCCTGGCGCATTCAGTCGCCAGCATGAAAAGCTTATCCCCACGGTTGGGAACTAAGAAAGTTCGGCATCTGTATTCGCGGCCGCCCAACAACTGGCCATTGGGCATCACCTTCTTCTCTCCAAACTCGTCGATTTCTCTCGGGAGGTACTCGTCGCCGGCGGGGTTCAGCTGGTCGGTGGTATGATCTCTCACTGTAGGGAGAGCTTTCAAGGTAGTCTTTGTTGGTGTCGTCTTGGGCGGAGGCGAGGCCTGCGCGGGCGCGTAATTGACGGCGGCTTGACCCCCAGGCAGCGGCGCGCTCTGGTTCTGGGGGGTTTGCGGTGGTGGAATATTTTGAGGCATGTTGGCTACTGGGGCCTGACCGGCAGTCTCGGAAATGGCACCAGATGATTTGGACTTGGATGACTTCCCACGTTTTCTCGGGTTGGAGTCACCTACAAAGATACTAGTGTTAGTTTGTATCGCGTTGCGCGCGGCGGGGAAGGAAGCAAGAGGTTACACGCGCGACTGGTGAACAGTACAAGCATGATGGGGAAAAGTGAGATTCTGCATGGGAAGGACATACCGGCAATGCCTGCGGATGGATTTCCCTGGAAGTTGTCCGGGGAGCGGCTTCTTTTGATGCCGCGAGTGCTTGCGTTGAGCAGGTCTATACGATGATCAAAGCCGTCAGCATAATGTTATGGCAGGACAATTGTGGTAAGAAAGGTCATAGCCATGGCTCAAACAGGCGAAGGGGGGGCGCGCAAGTGGTAGTTGCGCATGGAGAAATGGTTGCTAATCCGGCCAGGGCCTCGCAGTGGAATGCGATGACGGCTAGCGAGCAGGCTGGGTGGAGGCGGGGGGCTTAAAACTGTGGAGGGGGGCGATGGATAGTGAAATAAGCAACATACCAGGAGAGTTGAGGGCAGCTGGGTTGATTGTCGCACTATCAGCTCCGTTCGGCTGAGTGGAGTACATTGAGCGCGCAAACGTCTCCCGGTAGATTCGTCAAGACAAGATCAGAACAACGAAAGACGTGTCTTGATATAGTTGGATTGCCTTCCGGCCGGGTCGCGGGCGAAGGCGACACTGGGTCTGGGGAGGGTGCGTTGGGTGATGCAGGGCAGGCTTATGCGTGCATATGGTTGGCGCGAAGCTCTGAAATGTCCCTGGCGGAAAAGTATGTCGAGTAACGACGGGTAGGGGGAGCGGCCTGAGAAGAAATCGAAATGGAAGCTTTTTCTTGCCTTTTGTTCGCTCTTCTGAATCCGTACCGCAGGACAGGAATAAGAGGGTTATGGGGGCGTATGGCCAAGGAAACTCTGAACTCTAGATGGAAATGCAAGAGTTGAGTTGCAGCGCCGGTACAACCAAGCCGTAGAACTCAATAGAGTATGGGATAGGGTCTGTGTCCTTGGGGCCCGGGGCGTGACGGGTAGGTAGGTTCTTTGGCGAGAGGGCCTGTGTGTAGCAGCTTTGTAAGATGTGAGGAGGAGAAGCGTGTGGCGAAGATTTGCTGAATTTTCCTCCTCTCGATTTCCACGCGGCAAGAAGTAAAGCCTGTGTGTCTTGCGGCGTCTGAATAGTATGAAATGAAGCTGTTGATGAGCCCTTGTTTACGTGAACAAGGCCGCGAGACGCAAAGAATAAGTGTGGGCGCAGAATCTGAAGGCTGTTGCCGGTGGAGATGCGCGCGTGCGATGGTGAAGGAGGGAAGATGATGGATGGTTGGTTGGAGTTCGCAAAGACGTCGTGTGGTAAGGTATACCTATGGTAATTACGGATAGGATAGACAGATGATGGATGGACGGGGAGAAGTGGGCGACCTGATGAGAACGGCAAGGTCGTGGTACGGAGGGGGAGGGTGAATGGAAGGTGCCTCGTCGAATCGTGCCGTCGGGGTGTGAAGCCAAAGTACCCTTCCCTGAGCAGGCAGCCAGACTGAAGAGTCTGAGAGGTACTTAGAGGAAGTAAGGTAGAGCAGGCAGAGCTGGATGTACCTCTGGGTGTAGCGCGGCCTAGTCGGATGCTTGCGCTTGTCAACTTGCAGCCGAATGCCCTTCTGGGCGACTTCTGTGCTCCTGTCCCCGCGGAGGGTTTGCGCGAGGAGTGTGTGTCTGTGGTAGAGAGGGGTGGGTGAAGGAAAACGCGACTCCCAGCGAATGGAGGGGGTTTCGCAGCCTGGAAGCGACGGGGATTATCTCGTGGGCGAACGGAGTCGGCCAAGTACGATGACGATGGGTCGGAGTTGTCGATTATGTCGTCGATATCAGGGACGGCGACGGCGACAGGATGCTGGTCAGGGTCTCGGAGACAAGTAGACCAGGGGTTCACGGAGCGAGGTTATGCGACGCGACGGTATGCGATGGAATGCGACAGGATGGATGGTGGGAAGCTGAAGAGAGCGAGGTGCGAGGGCGTCGGTATCAACGGCGATTATTAAGAAGCAAAGGAAGCGTCTGTCGGCTGCTTTGTCGCTTTATTATTTGTTCGTACGCAGCATAACAATTTGCGAGGCAGCCTTGTGGATTTCTCGTGGCTATCTTCCGATGGCGTTCTTGTCCTGAGCGTAGGTAGCCCTGCCTCGGTTTGTCCTGGACGCGTCTTGGGAAGCGTGTAATAGAGTGTATCTGCAATTATCGCAGTGACCGAGAAAGGCTGGGCTGTCCAATTTGCTCAGAGCTGTCTGTGTATTGGAGCTGGATCTGGAGTTGGTGTTGGTGTGTGTGTGCCGCCTATGTGTGTGTGTGTGCCGCCTATGTGTGTGTGTGTGCCGCCTGTGTGTGTGTGTGTGTGTGTACGGAGTAGTATCTCTGACAGTGACAGAAGGAACTGGTGAACCCCGCGACCGGGAGAATGAGGGTCTAGTAAATCGCCAATGGCGGGAGGGATGAGGTCGGATAACGCGCAGCTAAGCAGGTCGCATCAGCAGGTGCGATGCGAGGTGATGGTGTGGGAAGCGGGCTGGAGCTTGGTCGATGCTAGAGCTGGGCTGGGATGGGCTGGTGCATGCGCAGAGAGAGTATCAGCAGAGCGAACAGAACGGAGTACGGATAGTAAGGCACTGGACCTACACCTTAGTGAGGTAGCGACTAGCAAGAGCGGCGGCAGGTGCAGAAGGCAGGTCAGTCGCAGATGTCCCGGCGCAACGCGACGTAAGGAAGATGGGAAAGCTGGGAATGAAATGGATTGGACTGGACTGGGACAAGGTCTCCAAGTTTTCTGGCTGGGGGTGTGAGTGAGTGAGAAGGAGAGGGGTGGGGGTGTGTAAACTGGAACGTGTAGAGGGTGTGGCGTGGAGGGGAAGGCTAAGGTACCGGGGGAGGAGAGAATTGAGAGTCTTGAGATTGGGATTTGGCACAGCTACCTACCTACTGCGTATGATGACGGTGACAGGGAGTGTACATGGACCAAGGCACCTACCTGCCTTACTCCGTCGACCAGTCTCAAATGGAAGTCACCAAAGAATCACCAAACCGAAGAACGCACAGAAGCTGCCGAGACCCAGAAGGAAGGAACGGCGGCGACAGACGGGCGGCGTTTTTCGGGTGTGGCGAGCAATGGAAGAACACACCACGCTTCACACTTTAATGGATTTTCCAGCGGGGAGACAGCGTGCGGCGGGAATTGGAAGGGTGGGGTGAAGATTGACATTGGAACGGGGGTGGGTTTAGTTCAAGAATACATACCTACTACTACGTATGTACAAGCCAAACGACTTGCGCGAGGAAGGCTCCGACGGGAATTTGGGAAGGCAGTGGAAAAGTGAAGGGAAGGAATGACTGGAGAAGGAAAAAAAAAAAAAAAGTCTTTTGCTTCCTTCCTCTGATGATTCCATCACAGCCAAGGAAGAAATTGACATGCAAGTGAGGTGGGTAAAAGAAAAACGGGACAGAATTGAAGGTGGCAGGGGTGTGCCCCAGTTCACGGTTACGAGAAGCCAGCCAAGAAATCCAAGACAGCTTCATCGATAAGTTGTAACTTGAACGTCGGCAAAGGGCGTGTAGTGTAAATGCGTTTCTGCATTTTGACATGTATTACACCTGCACTTGAACCCAAGCAGGTACTGAATCCAGCAAGAACCTGGAAAAGAGGCTTGACTTGACAATAGAGTACCGGTAGAGAAGTAAACACTATTCACTATTCAGACACATATACTTAGCAAGCGGCCTTGAAAGTTGAAGTTGCAGATTGTAGTCATCACACGCTTCTCTAAACGGGTTCTCCTCCGTACGGTAAGGTATGGATGCAGGCGCAGGCGTGCCGCGTGCTGCGTGCCGCTTGCTGCGTGGTGAGAAACGGGAAAACGGTTCATTCATCAGCATGACCACTTTCTCCGACCCCTGCTCGATAATACGCGGTAGTATGCAGCCTGCTCGAAAAAGAGGAGCACATCCAACTCTGGGCCTGCCCATCTGGGCGCGTGGGCACGGACGACGATGATGCCAGGGAGATATCGACAGGGATGCCATGCACCAATACCGGCACCAGCATCAGCACGAGCAGCAGCGCCAGTATCAGCGCCAGCGCCAGCACCAGCGCTAGCAATGGAGCAGAAACACAATGGAAGCTGGTTTACGTTGTCCTTCCCCCCTCTCCATGCCCTCGGGCTGGTAGCTAGTTTGACCGAGTTATTGCTTTGCGGCTTGTGAGTTGCGAGTTCCCATCGTCTCTGCCCGGACTAGTAGCCGCCATAGGCAGTCCACTTCGCTTGACGGCCGGTCCGTGTTCGAGGTAAGGTGTTCCATTCGTACTCCTCCGTAGCGGCGTAAACGCAGTCGGCAACATGGGAGACAAGAGTCCAGCTCAGCTGGGGTCTTATGGATCTGAGACGGGGGGTCGGGCAGGCAAGTAAAAAGAGAAGGGCAGGACATGGAACCAAACGGTCTAGAAGAGGCTGTACGCAGTAGATACTCTTCGCTGCCGCCAAAGCCACCTACAACAGAATACCTGGGAATATAGCAAACAGCCCAACGCCGCTTGACCCAGTCCAAGTCAAGGTACCTTAGGTACTCCGCCGACGTGTAAGCTACCTTACCCGATGGCTATTCTCAATCGCGGTCCCCGTAAATTCGTAATCTGTTGGAAAGAAGGCTACTAGACCAGGTACATGTTCCGATCCATGGATATTTCTCAGCGTCCATCATCCGCTTCTGCATCTTACCTCACTTAGCTGGCGCCTGCATCTGTCTGACCGGTCGAACTAAGGTAAGCAGTAATAGAGCGATTAAGTGAGCGCGCCTTGCCTGCATGATGGAGAATGCGCAGCAGCGCCGAGGAACGGGAAAGCCTGCCATGGTGCCTAAGGTGCATTTGTAGATTACCTACGGAGAACTAGATGATGATATGCGGGCATAGAAGGCAGATGGCTTATGTAACGCACTCTCCGAAGTACGTGCTTGCCTCGCTAGCAGCATGGGAATGTACGAAGTACCTACCCTTTGCGCTTTACGCGACCTGATCCACGACGAGAAAGTACCTCTTTCCGCGGTGCCTGCCTTATTACCAAGGGGGGGGCGTGAGTCTGTCATGGAATATCTGGAAACTACCTACGAGAACCCACCTACACAATCTCAGAATTCCTTACAGAGAGGCAACCTGCATTGAGAGCCTACCTATCTACAACGAATTCCCTTCATGCCGAGTCTGCGATACTTGCTACCAAAAGAACCTCCTTTGTTGTATGATCACGTTCCCTCGACCGTTCAACGCTTGACTGGACTATTTGTCGTCAACTGAGCATCGAAATGGTATCCGTCTGGTATCCGTCCAGAACGATACATCGTCGACTTTGCTCGGACTACCTCACGAAGCAATTTTCCATCTGTGTCCGTGACAGAAGCGCGCCCTGTTCCTCACACTCTACTCACACTAATCTGCCAGGCTACGTCCGTATGGAGGAGAGATCCGCTTCTCTGCCCATTTTCCACTGCCTATGATCAAGATCGCGCAAAGCCGTCGTCAATGCCAACGACACCAACCGAAGGCAAAGCACCAAACACTCGGTCAAAGTCTTGGAACCAGCCACGCCTCTTGACTGGACCAAACCTTCAGCACCTACCTGGAATGGTATTTCCTTGCTATCCAAGCCCTGTCGATAATCCAACACCTACCCCGTATGAGACGACGAGTTTTGTTCTAGGTGTTATCACATTGGCCTCGCCCTCTTGTCGCTTTGCCGCCAAAAGACATTTCGGAGGCTACGCTTCCTGCTCTCCACTCCATATGACTTTGAATATGGCAATGTGCAGTACTGTCTCTGAGTCTAGCTCCTCTGGATCTCTGGAGTTCCGCATGTACGCATCAAACCATGCAACTACAGCTTGGTCTAATCACCCTGGCGAGATGCTCACTGCACAAGAAGTCCAAAAGGGCTTCATCCGACACCAAGAGTCTTGGTTAACGCCCACCGAGGCCCGCTCGGAGCATCACGCCTGGATACAGAAGAGTACCATGGAATAGCGACCTGGCATTCAAGCAGGCATTCACGCCCGACCACCCTGCCTCATTCGAAAATCTTTCTGTTCAAATGCTGCTTGATACTTGATATCTCTCAGTGGGTGACCCGTCTAGACCCCCCTTAGCCCGTCCCAGGCATCGACAGGGGTTCCTCACGGAGGGCTGCCCCCTGCCCCAGTCTCGCGACACTGCGACTGACTGCATTAGAAAAGAAAGCGGGCAGGATTGCTGCGGCGAAGTGGCTCCCCGGCTTGCGTAGATGAGGTGCGGGAGCGATCACTACCCATCGTTGAGCCCCAGAAGAGGCCTGGCGGTAGCCCATGCCGGCCACACTTGCCCACCATCTCACTACCACAACCACGCCCACCACGGCCATCACCCGAACCTCACATCCATGATCCCACGCTTTCACACTATGTATACTCAGCAATTAGAGTGGGGCATAGAGGAGTCATCAGCTCAGTATGCCATCTGGCATCAACGTCCATGATCAAGAAGTCGGACGAAGTCTAGTCATTCAGGTTCGAGCAAAGTAGCAATCACTGCTTCAAACGAGCTGGGCGAATCGTTTGCTGCTTCAGAGGAGTTTACAGCAGAAACAGCCCGCTCTATCCGCACTCTCTCCGGCTAGTCCGGCTTAGAAGGTGACTCGATCAGCGTCCTTCCGAACAACCTTGGGTCAGCTCCTCTCTTCGTCCTTCGGCGTCTCCTGGCCGCTTTAAGGCCCCAAAGCATAGGCTCAGACTTGATACTCTGATTCGACTCAGCTTCATTTCCGCCAATTCGAGAAGAGTGAAGCACTATCACTGGCAAATATGTCGTTTCCTGGTCCTCGGCAAGGTCTCCAAAAGCAGCATTCGTTCGCTCCTCGTCGAACGTCTATGAACATCGGCCAAGCGTCGGTCCACGGCGTGTGATGCGGCCCAAGTTAGCAGTAGCTGGCTTCGGTAGGCAAACTTCGAAACAGTGCAGAAGGCGGCTGGGCGGCCCTTCACTAACAGTATGGAGGATTCTCGGTCAACAAGACAGTCTCATTTGCCACCAGAAGAGCAGTCTGCTGTCACCTCAGTATTATACGCTTAATCACGCACGGAGAAAGGGGGCATCCCTACAAAGTAGTTACGAAACAACAGGGCGCATAGTTATTCTGTGTCTTCCTGACGCATCATATGCAGATAGCCCAACTTGGAATGTAGCACTATGCCATGTATCTGTTTCCCTCCGCCATACCTACGAGGAGTTGCAACTTGCAAGACTTCAGTTTGACAACTCTGGATCCTCGTCCCAAAGACTGCAAGAAACATTAAAGCGGCGATTCCTACCAACCATCCTTAGCTCCACGGAGCTACTTCGAGGATCCCGTTACTTCTATGTTGGCCCCGCTGGTCGAAAGCAGCAGTTTTCAGCATCACCAAGCTATTCTCGAAGCAGCAACAATTTGCCGAGGGAACCATGGGGTCAATTGTCCTTGACGCGAAACCTTGCCTGGGATGTATACGGCGCGCAACACACAGGCGTCTAACGATGCCTTGTCGACTTGCTGGTCAACCCAAAAGGAGTCTATCAACTTTTGGCTCAAAGGTTGTGTAATATGAAGAGAAATCGAAACCAGAAGTAGCCGGCCGCTGTAACGAATCCTCCAACTATGGCAGCCAAGTCTCGAGGCAAGGTAGTGCCATTCCGCTGCATCTCGATATCCGGTATCCGTATTCCGTACGGAACACACGCCAGACGGCCAGTCGAGTGAGGTCGACCGTCGGGCACAAAGTGGTTCAAGAGTAGAGGCGGGAAAATTCCCGACACTGACTCGCTCAATGGACAAGTCCCGTCGCCGCCCTCTTTTCTCGCACAGACACCGTTCTTGTCGCCATTAATCTGTTCAGCCAATCGCTCCAGTCTGCGTGCCATTCTGACTTACCATCGACTAGGACCCCAGCAATGGCGCACACGCTATCGACGTCGACCCCTGTCCACAATACGGTTGAAGGCGGGCGAAACGGATGGGATCAAGGATGGTCTCCGCCAAGGTGCTCCTGCTAGCCGAACGTCGTGCCTTTCACGGGGCGTCTGACTTCTGCAAAACGACGGCCTCGTCTCCGAGCATTCTTACACGAGCAAAGATGACATGCGGCCCTGGTCTCGACTCGTGTCTCTTGTCTCTTGATCGCCACGGACGAAAAGAGGTACTAATTTAGACTCAAACCTCACTCTGCATATTGATACCTTACGAGGGGCGTAAAAGGGTCATTACGGATCTGTAGATGAGGAACTCAAGGCCCTAGCAGAAAGAATAATTGCGATGCTGCAGCAGCTACTTCGGCGTACGAATCATAACTCAACGGCAATGTTACAACACGACGCCTTCGTCAAAGCAGGCGCCGGACTTGAGGAGGCCATCGTTGCGTCGTCGCACACGGCTCTGACACAGATGAGGTCAGCCCGCAGCTCCTATTATCCTCCATTACCCGCGGCTTCCTCTCGTCTAGAGCTTCCTGGTAAAATGCTGCATGCCAGCCGCTAGCAATCATTTCGATAACATGAGCAATAATGGACCCGTTTATCACATCACGCGCCACATTTAGAGGCGCGACCGGTGCCGCCTAAGTTGGCTAGACAAGAGACATTTCGTCATCATCTCGACACTGGGGAAGCATTGCGGACGAAATAACTGCCAAATGTGTTCGTCGAGCTGAAGCGTCCTGTCTATCTAGCAAGGAGTCCGAACCAAATCTGGGCCAACAAAAACAGCACAGTCAGGACGGTGTACCCATCACATGGCCAGTCTCCAACAAAATCGTCGCAAGTTGGGGGATGTGAGATGCTACCGTCGGCGATTAGCTGACCGAAAAGGTTAGGTAGGACAAGGGCGATGCAAGACACTGCAGCCAAGTCAAGCAAGCAGGCTGTGCTGATTTGCTCGAGCTTGACTGGGGTTTCCATTCATACAGGAAATGCGATTTTGCACACTTCCCCTCCTCCGGGGTTCTCTCGTCCAAATCATTGGGCTCTACTACCTGTCATTCTGTCTCGAAGAGAGCAGATAGGTTTCAGCTCACAGGCGACAATTATGCAGACCAGAAAGCAGCGAGTACCAGCTATAGGGCCGCGTACGGATAGGTGAGCATAGTGTCACGGATCTGCCTATGGAAAGTCACATATGTAATGCGATTGCCGACGGTCCGAATCGCAATGGCCATTACGGAGGAGTTACGCGGATCCGAGACCTTGGAGATGATATGCTCGGACAGCCGTTGTGCAAGAAGACAGGACGGCAGAGCAGAAGCACATCTTGCGTTGGCCACAAAAGCCTCTGGACTTGCATCGTCCCTCATCAGGCGACAGCGGAGCATGCGACTGGCAGCTCAAAGATGCTTTGGAGTGCTGCATGGGTCTCCATCGCTGACGGGCATCACGGACGTTCACACATCGACAAACGTCGTCACTCATTGGCTCCTGGCCTGTGGCCCTAGCCTGGTCTATATATCAGTATGCGCCACAGCTGAAACTCGATACCAACTGGCAACCCGTCATCGTAAAGGCGGCGATGGAAATGGACTTTTACAACCGAGAAGAGAGCGGTCAAGGAAAGCAACGACGCCATAGCTATCGAGACCGCAAAATGGCACTTGCGCGGAGACGGTGCTTCACTAGCTTCGTCTCGGCCTGTGCCCAACGACAAACTTCGAAAGCAAGACGCAAAAAAGAGCGTTTTTCTTAGTGGTGAAGAAGCTTCCACTTACTCGTGTCTCTGCAGCGGCCTTGATCGAGTCTCGACGTCGACAAGCAAGAATTGTCGACGAGTGGATGCGTTTCAGCCGAGGTGGCTCAAAGCTGGGATGTGTGCATATCGAAATCGAGAACGAGGAAGGATTCCGCCGAGACGACTTCCGCTTGGCGGAGATGCCTCGGACATAATGGAAGCAAAAGACCGGTCAACCACAGAGGTCTCGCGTGGCTTCGGTCAGATTTCCCCGCTTGTTTCGCGAGTGATCATGATGGCCAGGCTCTTGCTTGTCGTTACCTCGCGTCAGGGTGTCGCGCCTCTACAACGCGTCCTCCTCGGCAGCGGCTGAGAGTGCAGATAAGGAGCGGAGGGACCACGGTAAGATATGCTGACACTACTGCGGAACAGATGACTCAACAACTGGACAGTGCCCCGGCAGCACAACAAAGCTGGACAAATCAAAAGATCAAGAGTGATAGGATCAGACATGCTTGTTCGGGAGGAGGAGACAGACTGTACGTGGGAATCTTCTGCCTCGGAGAAAGGTGGTGTGAAGAATCGAGCTTAGCTATACAATACAGCTACTGCACAGTAACAAGTATGGCCCTGTGCCCTCCAACAAGGAATGAGCAGGCATGGGGCAAGGCATGGGCGGCAGCGATTGCGAAGATGGAGGGGAGAGCCATCGACGAAAGGATGGCCTACTGTGTAGAAACGCCTTGGCTGTTGGTTCACCCCGAATCCCCGTATGCGATTGGATCAACAGGTCACGTTCATGACCGACGCACAAGCCAAGAAAGAAATCATGGGTTCAAAAAAGACCCCACACTCATGATGGATGGACATCTGTTTCCTTTCGCATAGCATGAGCAGGGCACGGCCTTGTGGGCAGTTAACCAGGGGTTGATGGTGATGGAGGGGACGACCGGCGTGGTGGTGTACAGCAGACACCAGAGGTGCTGCTCCCTTTCCGTCCTTTTGGGATGACTTGATGCAAGCTAGGAAGCAGCAGTGCCTGCAATACTGCTGCAAGAGTAGAAGGCGATGAAAGGGTTTAGAGAAACGAAACAACGGACGAAGAGGGTTGTGGCTATGGGTGGGCGAGTTTCCACACCTCCAACCAATTTATTCTCCCCGAACGAGCCGTGCCAGTCCAAATGCACGGCAACAACCGAGAGGTTGTTATCGTGGTCCACAACAAGCTGCCGGTAGTGGATATGGATGGGTGGATGGGTGATTGATGGTGCAGAGAAGCTGCTGCCTCTGCTGGTGCCTCTGC